GTAAACCCTCTCAGCAGCCTCGCCCATTAGCTCTGTCATGCATTCAACTCGCCTCGCCTCCCCGACTGTGTGTATTATAGAACAGAGTCGGCAGGCCCGCCGTGACCTGAAGACAGTGCCAAGGAGATTTCAGAGTGGTGGCAAATCAGTCTTATGTTGATATAATAATCTGTTCTGGATTAATCAATGCTCAGTCGCACTGGTGCCATGACCTGCATTGTACATGTGTAGGAAGGAGGTGGGACAATCTGTATCAGTATGTACTTTTGTGGCCATGTGAGCTCATGTTCTGCCACATAAATTCCTGTGCATTCATGTTCTGATTTGAAGGTGCTCCGATTTAGTTCATAGGTAGGAAAACAGCAGCAGGAAAAATGAGAAAAAAAGGTCATTACCATTTCTGTAGAAGGATTTGTGAGGTCCACATGGTGACACCAATACACACTGGTGTGATTTTCCCACCTTTCTTCTATATACTGCAAGTCATAGCACTCATGTGGTGAAAAATCTGTCCAATAAAGTTTGTATGTTCATGGTATTAAATGTAAATGCAGTTACACAATACAACCATAGTGATGTTCTCCAATTTGGGCTATTACTTGCTGTTGGACAGCTGGGATTATTAGGTTATATTTAGGAAAAATGTACCACACCTGGCCATGCATGGATCTTCATCCTCTCGCCCCTTACTATTAAACTTAGATAAAGCTACACTAAATTAATCTTCAAAAAATTAAGGAATGTTACATAATAAAACCACTACAGCACTGAAAATGGTCCATCATTGTAAAACCAGATACATTTATTTAACATAAAACACTGTTGAAACTGATTACATCAGAATCTTTAAGTAACACAAACTTTTTTAGGTTAAAAAAGCTTATTCATTAAGCAGCTTTTACTAATAATTTTAAGTGGCACTAACGTAGTCACAGAAACAATCCTGATTAAGTTGTTTTTACTAGGTATTATGTTTTTCAAAATTATGTCATTCTCACTTAAAATTACTAAAGCTCCTTAAGCAATATTGAAGACTAATATAATTAGTTTTACTTAAAAATGTGTGTTTGATGGAATCAGTTTCAACAATTTGTTGAGTTTAATTAACTTAACTGGTTTTACAGTGATTGAAGCTGTGATTGTTGTAGCCTTGTGTGTGTAGGAATTAGTGGCATCTAGTGCAGTTGCAGATTGCACCTTTGTCACCCTTTCTAAGCGCGAAGCCGAAAATACTGTGGCCACGAAACTCGCGAAAAATGGAACGGACTCTAAGGAAGGCGACCCGCAGTGTATGTAGATAAAAACGGCTCATTCTTATAGAAAATAAAACACAACAATTCCTATATTCAGGTGAATGAATAAACACACTTGATCTTTCATTTCTAAATTCTTTCAAACCATAGACTGTCTGTTTATTAAAACACTTGATTTCTGTTTCTCTTTTTGTGTTAAATGCAGAAGATGTGATGAAGTGATGTGTGGAGGATTTGTTGTTGTTGTTGTTGTTGTTGTTGTTGTTGTTGTTGTTGTTGAAAGGCACCTTTTGCTGAGCTGGGCTCAGTAGCTGGAGTAATGTAGTGAGTAATGTAACTACGTCTGCTGAGGTGTAATTAGGAAATGAATATAGTTCTGGTTCTGGAGTACATTTTTCAAGTAGCTTGCCCAACACTGCTGCAAACACATACAACCTGGACTAACTTAGTGCCATTTAAACACCAGAATGTGTTAACTTTGGCACTTGCCACATAGACAGCTGCCCTAATTATTCAGAGACAATGGAAACAACATAATGGATTTCTCATGGTGTGGAGATTCTGTGTCTGCAGAGCATTTATTGCTTTGTGTTGTGCAGTGAGCCTAATTTAATGCTTAGATCCAGTCCCATTAGTGATTACCAGGTGGGGTCTAGCAGCTCTGTGTGTGTGTGTGTGTCCAAGTGTCTGTATTGATGTACTGTATACTTTGGTAAATACTTTCTTAAGGTCACAAGTCAATATGAAAGCAAGGCAAGTTTATGTCTTTATCCCAGCCATTTTGTAGAGTTAATAAAGGCTCTTCATTTTAAATTAGTACATTACGTTTACAAAACAATTCTGAAACTGTACATGATGCTCTCACTTGATGTTCAGATATTAAATTCAAGAATTTCATTTTCTCTGGCTCTAGACAGATTTAATATATGGCCATAGATTTATTATGCTTTACTGTGATTTGCTTTTTAATCTGAGGTCCAACCTATCCAAATATGTAGATATGAGAGCTTAACCTTCTATTATAAAAGGAGTTAGGCAAGCCTAAATTTTGTATGTGTGTGTGTGTGTGTGTGTGTGTGTGTGTAGGTTTGTGTGCGTGTGTGTATGCTTGGTCTTCAAATGTGAATGGAATATGTGCCATTTGCTTGAATCCAAAGCACCTCACAACATCTCAGGAATCCTTTATGCCTGAGTACATACAAACATGCATGCTCGTTTGGTTTGGTGGATGGATTTGCATGTGTTTGTGTGTGAATATAGATGAGAGGACGTCTACAAGCACAGAGCTGCACACATGTATTCATGAGACACTCGATTAAGGCCATCTCCTTTATTCTGAGTGCATCATATGTGAGGATAAATCTTCCTGACAGGCACACACATATTTATATATATATACTTGTACATGAAGATTATTCATTGGGACATTTTCATATGTCATTGTGATCTGTACAGCTCACATTTAACCTTTTATCTATGGGTCTCATTTAAACCATGTGTTGTGCTAATCATTTTAGGTCCTTCTTTCTTGGTTTTTGCCGGTACTTATATTTATTTTGGCTGTTATATTAAGAAAAAAATGTTAACTGATGTTGATAAATTAAGTATCTAAGATAAGAAATAGAGGCTATAATGAACACATTTTTGCTCAGGTTAGTTTCTATGTGTCCGTCAAATTTTTTGTTTTCTAGAGTAGTGGCTCTAAAAGCGTCCAGTTTAAAGGCTCCCGGTAAAGTTTTATTGCCAAAAAAAGTTATGTTTACAGTCACTGTTTATCCTCTGGGAGCCTGTTTCCACCAGTAAAACAAAAAAATAAGACGAAAACTAAGCCTTGCTAATAAAAAAATTCCATGTTAAGATAAAAAAGTATTTTTTTTTTAAATTATTTTTTTTTAAAAGTATTTTTTATCTAGCAAACATGTTGAATGCATTTTAAAGCTTGGATTGTTTTCTGTCTCCTCTTTTCCCCAACTACCAAGAAAGTGGAACAATACGGTCTTTTTCTGCAAAACAATTTCCACATTAAAACCCTTAAAGAGGAATCTACAATTTCCAGAAATTCCAGAATCTCTGCATATGTAAATGTTGTCCATTCTCAGTGTATGTGCACTGGTGCCTTCAAGTTTCTACATCACACAACTCATTTGTGATGTCACAAATCATGCCGGTAGGCCCCGCCCCTTAAAATCAGACTTTCAATGAGCACAGAGAAAATTTCCACTTTCAGCAGATGAATGTCAAAACATCCTTCTACTGTCAAACTCTGCTCATACATCATTCAAACAGCACACTGTACGAACTAGAAGAACAGATTTTTGAATGAAGGGGGACTTTACACAATGCCTCTTTTTCCTCAAGTGAAATGGCTCGAAGGAAAATTTCAAGCAGCAGTTTTTGAAGTTAGAATGAGCTAAACATGAGCACCATTTGTTATCTCGAGGTAATGAGATGGATTTGTCATTATGACAAAGTAATGCTGTGATATTTAAGATAACTGGCCTAAAAAAACATTATCAGTAACCATGACGGCCCTCAGTTTGCATATGAAGATCCAATTAACTTTCTAGGGATACTAGCAGTCTCTCTTCATGGCTGTGAAAACTCCAGAATAATTCATCCATATGACTGTTGACTCTAAGTGTGCTAGTCCGGTGAGCGTGTGCATTCGGCATCTCAAACACATGACATCTGTTGGATGGTAATCCAGCTTACACTAATGTAATATAAGTCAGTGTTTACATGATTGCATGGTTGCCTGATTGTTTGGTCTTGTGCATCTGTGTGTTGTGAGAGACAGAGAGAATATTGTGTAAGAAGATTATGTACGGCGCAATTATTCTGGATGTCACAAAACTGGGCTTACTTCATGTTAGTACCAAGACTCGAACAAAATCATAAAAGAACAATGTTTTTGTGTGACATTTTTTGCTATTTTTAGAGTTATAGAGTTAATTTGTTAGTCCTGTTGTTGCTTATTTAGTAACAGAAAACAATGTATCCACAGTGGACACAAAACACAAAAACACAAAACACCAATTGTCTGTGGAGTTGATTGATGTATTGATGTATTATTGATGTATTTTTCAACCTAGACCCTATTTTTACATGTTTTGTATATATGTGACTAATGGAGACCATTCCAATTCCGATAATTGGGTTGGAGATATGATGTGAAATCCAGTTAATTGTGAAATTACTACACAACCTGTTTAGTTAAGGTTAGTTAGTAAAATGTAAGGATAAGTTGACCTCTCAACTGCTGTATTGTTTTAGTTATTGATTTGCTTACTTTGCTTAACCAGGAGATCTCTTGGCAAACATTACACGTTTTACAATAAAGGTGTGGCCAAAAAGACTAACTATGTGCAATGCATAATAAGAAAAGGCAGTTTAGAAAGCCAGTTCAACCTTCAGTTTAACTTAAATTAGTTATTGAATTTGCACTAAAGCACTAATTTTGCACTTTAAGCCAGCTTAAAAGTTTATCAGTCTACCCTCTACTAAATCCAACATTATAGCCCCCAAAATCTGAGGCAGCATACAGTGCTGGCCAGTTGGCAGTAGACTTCAAATGTCAAAGAAAATTGACACATTTGCATAATTTTAATTTGCTTTAATAAGTTTATGTTAATGTAATCTACCAAGTCTGTTGACTGCATGAATTGTTTTATATTTGTAATTAAAAGTTCATACTATAATAATATAAATGATTATGTTAATGTGTTAATTGTGATCTTCTGTCTGCAGGGACTCTCTGCATTTATGGTTACATGAATGTCAGCGCTGCAGGCCAGATGCCGGTGATGGAGGAGCTTGTCAGTGAGAGGTGAGTGTTAATCAGCTTTGATGTAGAATAATCACTGGATTTGTGATTGAACACTTCCTGACAACGGTAACATTACGTAACGCACAACACATCAAAGCAAATGCAAACTTATGACATTTAGTTTTTGTCTCTTTTTAAAAAGTAGATAGACTTATATTGCATGTGACCATCAATTTCATCATTGGACCCAAGTTGCTGTATGAGCTGTAGTTACTAGGGCTGAAACGAGTAGCAGGTATAGGTAATGTACTTTTTATAAGTACGAGTATCAAACGGGTAAAAGGTGTCTTTACCAACTTTTATTAAAAAAACTTAAAAAGTTCTCTTTTGTGATCAAAACATTGCTCTGAAGTTCAGTTCTCAATCAACCCATGTTAATTTCAGGCTTAAATTAACAACAAGATACACTCGCTCCTCCCCAGTAGTTACTGGTTCAAATTTCCACTGGGGACACTTAAAACTTGAAATGTAACATTTACTTAAAGGACAATTCCGGCGCAAAATGAACCTGGGGTTAATAACACTTATTTACCGAGTTGGTCTGTTCTCTGGGATATGTTTTCATTCTAATCGCACGTGAC